GAATTATCATTTCTCATTTTTCACGACCCCTGAAGTCTCTGAGTGTATTTTTCATGGCCCATAGAATCTATAACACACCAACTTTTCATGAACCCTAGTGCCAGATATTTCATGGCAAATTCATGAGCCATGAAACCCATTATCCACTTTTCATAGAAAATTCATGGCCTAAAAAATAGGCCATGAAAATGAAATATCTGTATCCAAGGCCCTGAAAAATGCTTTCCTGGGTTTTTAATGACATTTTCATGGGATTTTCATAACATTGCAGTTCATAGTGTTATGCATTGTTGCATAAATTTCGATTTCACGGTAAATTTATCAAATAACTTTACAAATAGAGGTTCCATATTGGTAGTGAAGTGCAGCCCCATGTAGAAAGATCAAGGGGTTGGAACGGTAGTAAATAATATATTGTATCTCACTTTAGGATATCACATGGTCCATGCAATATTCAAGGTTGTAAGGCCCGTTTCAAACGCCGTACCACTGCATGCCGTGCCGAACTAAATTGATCGAATTTAATTCGACTTTAGCACGGCGGTAGCGCGACGTTTGAAACCAAGTCGTGCTACTGCCGTGTAGCACGCGCACGGCAAGCTTTTGCCGTGCTACACGGCAGTAGCTCCACGTGGTTTCAAATGTCGCGCTATTGCCGTGCTAAAGTCGAATTTAATTCGATCAATTTAGTTCGGCACAAAATGCAGTGGCACGTCGTTTGAAACGGGCATGCATTAGAATACATTTAAAAGTTCGCTAAACCGTTTCTTTATTTTTGTGTTTTGTTTTCGGCAACAGCCGTTCTATTCGACTGAATTAATTCCACGTCTGAAACCAAGTCGTGCTAGTGTCGTGCTGCAGTCGAGCCACAGTCGTGCCAGCTTAGAATGGCAGTAGCACGACGTTTGAAACAGGCCTAAGATTAAAAAAGGAGAGAGTAATTTGTTGTCTCCCTCTCAGCCGTTTTTGTCTAGCCACGGAAAGCTAGGAGTGTTGCGTGACAAGACAAAAGGGAGACTATGATGTATAAAATACACAGTTAAGTTATGTTGTATTTAAGCTTGTTTTTATTTTCAGCTTTATCCGTATACAGAGATGTTACCCTCTGGAGATCTAAAATCTGGAGACTCTTTTTTTTTTACACCCCCCGGAACTTCAACCACCCCCGTCACCCCCGTCCCCCCGACAAATTGACCCATCCCCTAATGGGAATGACCTCAGGACATTATATGGAGTCTTACATGAAGTACATCCAATCAAAATTCGCAATCATCGTTTTGGATGCCAGAAATAATCTTTGTCAGTGACTAAATACGTGCAAAAATGCCCCAGAAACCGGACTGCGAATAAGAAAAGTTCAAGTTTTGGGCTAAAAATGGGCTAAATCTCAAACTATGGTTACAGAAAAGCTCAAAAGATGATTTTATCCAGGAGACAGCGGGAGATCGGTGTCCTATCCGGGAGAGTTGGTATATATGGTATGTGTGACTACAGTTATAAAAAAAAAAGAACAAACACAGAGCATAATACAAGCAATGAATTCCCAAAGACTTAAATCAATAACGACAAGCATTAATATATCTCACTAATATATTATCTCTATGTTTTTAAAATAAACGCTGTATAGTTGTATATAAAATGCATACCCCAAAATCAGTTTGGATTGTTATTGACAAATACACAATAAAGACAAATTTAAAAGAAAGGTTTCAGAAAGCATCTTCGATTTAGTGAATTGTCACTGAATTATAAATATTCGTTTTTGTTGTATTCATTTTTTTTACTTCATGAGAGTAATACAAATAAGTATTTTAAATGAACAGGAAAACCTTAATTCAGTTTGCCTACCTCGTTAAACAAATCACTTGATTCATTCGCCTCTTTGCCGGGGCAAAACATGACCTCAATTGTAACGTAATTCAGTTTGTTCGCCTCGTTGCTCCATTCACCTCCTTAGAAAACGTAGTGAACTACAATAGGAACGTTATCTTCCAAAAACGATTCTGCTGAGTTGATTGTCTAGGGCGCTTTGAAACTAATTGTCTCCTCGTGACAAGATTTGATCGATTGTGTTCGTGATCCCGTGATCCACAGCTGATAACTGGTTGGGCTCACGGAACGACAGCGCTGCGAAAATGAAAGAAGATTGTCTCCCCCTTGAATCCTCACTTAAAGGTTCGCTACCTTCCCAAAATACTTAACTTCACAACTGACATGTCAAGCAAATGAATAACTTAACGGCTGCGCTACAGAAAATATTTGTCCCTTGCCCCCCCCCGTGTGAAAAACCTCCATGGAATTCCGTGGAATTCCATGGAGGATTAGGACATCAATTTCCATGGAATTCCATGGAAATTTCTCCATAGATTTCGATGGAAAATATTTGCATGGAGGATTAGGACATTTCCCATGGAATTCCATGGAAAACATTAGGGCACCAATTTCCATGGAAATTCCATGGAAATTTCTGCATCGACATTTTCCATGGAGGATTAGGACATTTTCTATGGAATTCCATGGAAAAGTTCCATGTAATTCCATAGAAACTACGCCATCGATTATTCCATGGATCTCCAGGGAGTTTCATGGAATTCACAGGAATTAGACATTTAAAATATCCAGTGAATCAAATGTTATACATAACAGATTTTGGTCCACTGCAATTTATTTAATCAATAAAAGGACCGCATAAATCTCTTTTTAAAGACATCAATCAAAACTTAACATGCTTTTGGAGGAAAATTTGACATACTGTAGCTTAACAAATAATGTTTACTTGTGACTATATACATTGCAGCTTAGAATGCAGCAATCATGTTGAAGTAGCTTAAATGAAAAATTTAGATTTAATATAAAGCAAGGAATCTTGGCCTGGTGTTTAAGAAAAGTAACAGGCGAACAGATGCATAATTGAGAGAAAAAAAAATGAGCTAATACTTGACTGCATAAACCGTCAGTATTTAAGACTTAAACATGGCTTTATTTTATAATGCGACGAAAAAGGGAAGTGCTACTTATTTCCTCGATCAGAACCACTATGGTATTTAGTTATAGCAAAGTCCTACCTAATCCTTGGAAAAAAACGGCGTCAGCCACAATTATAATTTATCAGTCTCTTGCATAGTTTTTACGTAGCAGGCATGAAAATTCTAAATATGATATTTCTTCTTATGCATCGAAGCAGTCCATCGAAGTACAGTCTTCGATTTCTAATTCTCCCAGAAGTAGTAATTATTTCAAAGGATTCCAAAGGCAATTTGCAGGAAAGACCACATTCATATCTGTATAAACAAAAGAGATGGAAACTACATATTAAAACCGATAAACAGCACCCGAAAAGTCACCCTTCTAAATCTAGCAGAGACATATAAATCGAGCGGACGAATTCAGTTGAGCAACCAAACACGAGTTGTGTACATATTAAGCTTACCTTTCTCTTTAATGTGCGATCCAGCTGAGTAATTCCTTAATCGAAGTCGATTTGAAAGAAGCCAAATGTAAGCAACCTCACAAGTGATATTTTGCGTTGAAAATAACATCTTTTTCGGATGCATTCATCGCTAAGACAATCCGTTTTCACAACACTGTCGTACTGCACAGAAGTCCGCCTAAAGATTCGAACCAAGAAAACTGATCTTCTACGCATTTCTATTGGTTCAAAAGCTCCACGAGTCGCGTAAGTCACTAAGCGGGGAGGTCTGCACGCCACTTCAAGCACCAAACATGGCGTCAAATCACGGCACGATCGTGGAGATGTCTGTCTTTAAAGGCTTTAAATTGTGGTCCCTTTCAGAGTTAATTGTACTATTCCGACGCTGTAGAAGAGTAAAGCAGTGAGAGGAAAATATTGCATTGTTCTCCCAGGTGAGGGAACCTTTTAAAAAAGGCAGCAGGCCTGTTCATTGTCTGATCTTAGTGTCATCACGCAACGCTCCTCCGCACTAAAAACGGCTGTGTAGCAGATTAGCCTATCCGCGGATGCGGCAAAAAAACTCTAATATTGCTTATGCGCCGAAATACTCCATACAATCAGGTTGGACTCGAGTAATAGGGAAAATCTTAGCTCTCAACCAAAACACACTTCGATACGAAAAGAGTTATGTGCCTAGTGGGATCATTTCCAGTACTGGCTATTTAAGTACGGGACCCATATATCGTCTTGTATTTGCTATTCATACGGGATTCTGACTAAACTGATTAGGCCTATTTTAGCACTGACTCGAAAAGGTTAGCCTCTAAATAGGGTTACGGTTGTTGTTATATGAATAAAATCAAACTCCACCTAGCAGCGAGTTACTACTCCGTGGTAGAGTGGTTAGGCTACGAATTATGGATTCTGCCCCGCTGGATCGGTTCTCAATCTTGCCACATCGAATTTTTCTTCTTTTCAAAATTTAACACTGAAATTTTTCCCTTAAAAATGGAATAGTGGTTGAAGAGACTTACACTTTCATGGAAAATGGTTGATCAGAAATTTCAAGAGAAATTTCATATAAATTTCAAGTAGAGACTTGATCCCGTATGTCATAGCAAATACACGTCCGTGTACGGGTCCTGTACGAATAGCGGTACTGTGCCATTATGAAGCAACTGCATGTTGTTAATAACAGTCATCTTCTCATATTTTAAATGCAACTCTGATTTTAAAAGATAAATGGCAGACAGCCCTACTAAAAAATAATTTTCTATATCTATTTTTTTTCAACAGGATCATTTTTTTATTAAGCACACAAAACATTCCTCTTTATAGTTAGCAATAAAATCTCTTACACTGGGACTTTCAGCGTCGGTGAACAATACTTTTGCATTGTCTGTGTAATTTAAACTAAACGCACTATTTTGCTTTTAGAAAGCTTTCAAATGTTTCCTATTTTTCTATCCAATAAAAAGTGCAGACTTGAACATGTGGTTAACAAGTTGATGAGTTGCTTGATTACTGAATTTCTATGGATTTTGTCATACAAACTGCATGGTATTCTATCGAACTCCATGGACACGCTATGGCATTCCATGGAACTGCATCGGTACTTCAGGGAACCCCATGGCATTCCATGGAACTCCACGATATTCCATGGAATTTCATGGCGTTCCATGGAACTCCATCACTACTTCATGGAACTCCGTGGAACTCCATGGCATTCCATGGAACTCCATGGATACTCCATGGATACTCCATGGGAGTTGCGTGGAATTCCATGGATTTCCATCGATTTCCATGGAATTCCATGGATTTCCATAGATTTCCATGGATTTCCATGGATTTCCATGGATTTCCATGGATTTCCATGGATTTCCATGGAATTCCATGGATTTCCTTAGATTTCCATGGATTTCCATGGATTTCCATGGATTTCCATGGAATTCCATGGAGGTATTTCACACGGGTCTTGCGTCTGACTTTCGACTTCAACCTCATACATGACTCACGAATGTCTAACCAACAGGTCGCGGATTGCTAAGAAACTCTAACAAGTTTATCGCCATTTGCTTTTAAAGCATGTTCAGAAAAAATCATAGATTTTCACTTTCTAGCGCTAACAAAATTCTCGGATAAAAAATTTTGGCCGCCACTTTAATTTGCTAGCATCGTAGCACGCTGGATAGGTTGCTACACGGCGGGGAGTGGGAACTGGTAAAACAGCGAAACAAACTTCTAAACTTCCAAACAAATTACCCGACAAATCGAGTTCTCAGACGCTTTCAAGACAAAAATAGGTAGCTGCCCTGCGCGGGCCGCAATAAGGTATCTGTTCTACCTAAAAGCCGTGCATTTACAAAAGGATATAGTATATACCTAAACCCTAAACTAAGAAAAGATCGCATACAATATTAAGCCCAATAATAAAACTAAAATTATGATGCTTATGTAGATAGTATATACGACCTGATCTTGGCCTCAAATTGTTGAAAAGAAGTCTTTTCCTTTAAACTGGAAGGGAGAGAATTCCAGAGCTTAGCACCTGCAGAAGCAAAACTATTCCTAAAATAGTTTGTTCTTGCTTTTGGCATTATTAGATTTATACTAGAAGAGCGAAGGTTATAACTGAGCCGACTTGTATTAACGTCAAACATGTCAGACCAATAAGAGGGACAGAGGCCATGATTTACTTTAAACATCATTAGTGCCATATGATGTTGTCTCATTTCACCAAGTGAAGGCCACCCAAGTTCATGCCGAATATCAGCTGAATTGTTTTGAATATGAAGCACCTGTAATAATACGAGCGGCCCTATTTTCCAACTTTTGAACGGTCTGCCAACGTTTCACCAATACTATCCCAAACAATACAACAATAAGTAAAACAAGGCTCATAGGACTGTATACGTTTATGAGACGCTCTAAAGTCTGACACTACTTTGTAAATGATTTTTCCAAATAAGAAATTAGTCGATAGTTAGTCCAAGACACTTTGTAGTTTCGACCTGTTGTAACGTTAACCATTTACACTCAATGAAATATTTCAATCTAATGTTGCAATTTTTTGCCGAGAAACTATCGCCATAAAATCTGGTTTTAGAATATTCAATGTGAGCTTATAGGAGCAGAGCCAATTAAAAATCCTATCAAGGCCGTTGCTCATTTCAGTCTGAAGGACCGATACATCCAGGGCAGAGAACGTGAAAGTTGTATCAGCCGCAAATGACCTTTCTATACTATGATCTAAGCAATTTGGTAAGTCATTAGTGAAAATAAGAAACAGAAGTGGGTCTAATAATACGATACGATTCTTTACAAACGACACTCCGTTTACCATGTAAAATTGCTGCCTGTCATTTAGGTAAGAGAAGTTGGCAGCCATAAGTCACGGAACCGTGAACAGCAGCATGCATATGGTCGCTATGAAGGGTTCCGTGTTTTGACTGCCGTGAAGCTTGACGATATAGCCTCCATGCAGAATAAATGTACGGGGTGGTTTAACTTTTCGAGTTTGAAATGAGGTGTTGACAGGCTAAACACGACTCATAAGCTCGTGATAGAGTGAAACGTGACCTTGGACTTGGAGTTAGCTTGAACTACCGAGGTTCCCCTTTTCTTTCTTTCGCTTAGGCTATGCAGTACATGGAGTATTTTAAACTCTGACTGAGCAAATCTTACTTTTGCCGCTCTGAGTCTAACATTTAGAGGTCGTGAAGCTAGTCTGTTTCATGCATATTGAGTAATTATTTCCTGTTGGTTTATTCTTGTTTAGTCTGTCAAGACTATTTCAAACCAGATGTTTTGCTTAGCGCGTTCAGCCAGTGATGAAAGGTTTTCTATTTCGGAAAGGTAATAGCCAATCAGAAAATACCTGCATATTCGCTAAAGTACCGGTATGTGACGTCACCAGACAACATGATAACGTTCGGAATTCAGAATTGTTGCTGTTTTATTGTTTTCTTATTTTTATTCAATTATGCGATTCAAGGAAAATTCATTACCTGACGAGGGAACTCCGCGTTAAATTGCACGCGAAAACCGATATCGTGAGTGAACTATTTGTTCCTTCTTTTTAAATTCACATTGAACAACTAATGTTGAGCTAATTTTAGTATTGTGTATGTAATCAAACAACAGGCGTTTCGGTCTCCTCATCTGTGGGATATCCATGAGCAGTATATGTATTTTTAAACCAAGTTACTGAGCCCAAATTCAACGCACACAAAAAACAAAGTGAATTAAAAAGATCTGCTCTAAGCCATTTCTCGCGACTTTTAGTTCTGCCGTTGTACTCTCTATATAAAGAGAACAACGGCAGAAGAAACGGCCAAAAATGCTAAGAATACGTCATCCATTTAAGCAGGGAGACAACAAAGAAATTCTGATGTGTTTTTATTACCATTTTGGACCGCGGCCCTGAATAACGATGGCTAAAATTGTTAGCATCTATGTAGGCCCAGCTGTCTTGGAGCTGTAGCCCCGAATCAATTCGGCGCCATTCCAAAATCATCTACACTGCAAGCTCTCATTTAAGTGGTGCAGACTTGAGCTAAAGCCACGGATGGAACTGGATCAGCGGTGAGAGTCGTGCTTCTTTATTACAGGAAAGCGTTTGATCTGGTGGATCGTAAGATACTGGCCGACAAGATCTTAGCATTACGCATACCTCGTGGGGTTGCCCGCTGGGTGTGCGATTTCCCTTTTGACAGGCGTCAGTGAGTCAAGCTCTCAAGCGATTGCTTCTAAGAATGGGGGTCCGTTCCATCTGGTGTCCCTCAAGAAGCTAAACTTGGCCCTTGGCTCTTTATTATTATGATCAGTGATCTCCACCCACCCTGATCAGATACATGGAAGTACGTAGATGACACCATGCTCGCCGAAGTAGTTCCCACAGGGAGTCGAAGCGCAATTCAGAACGCCTTAACAGCAGTAGAGCAATGGTCTGCCAGCAACACACTCCAGTTGAATTCAGATAAGTGTAAGGAACAGTCGGATAGATTTCAAAACACAAAAGATCCAAACACGAGTTCGATGTGATTACTAAATGTCAACTCAAAGGAACTCGACCTTGTGAATCACGCAAAAGTAACGGCGTAACTCTATCTAGCACCCTTCGATGGAATTGTCACATTTCTGATGTAACTCAAGAAGGCCAATAGGCGAATGTTTTTCCTTATTTTGCTTCAGCGCGCCAAGGTCCTGGCGCGAGTCATTATCAGTTTCTATCATACCTGCATTAGGCCGGTATTAGAGTACTGCGCACCTTTATACCACCATGTATTACCTGCGTATTTAGGCGACAACTTAGAGCGCATTCAGAAGCGCGTGCTCTCAATATCTCCCGGCCTTTCATATGTTCACAACCTCACATTGTACAACATGAGTTCTCTTAAGGACAGACGCATTGAACAGGGCAACAAACTATTTGACTTAGTCGTATCTGATTCTGCGCACAAGCTGCACCACCGCCAAAGAATGTTAGTTGAGGTATAATCTTAGAAACCAGCGTGAATTTACTCAACCTAAGATGCGCACCAAGCGTTTTTCCAATACCTTTATCCAATCTATGTCTGAGCGGTAGAACTCTTACATGTATCTTTAATTGAAACTTTTTACGGCTGCCATCTGTAATTTTATAGTATATACTGCAAGCATTTACATTTGAGTTATTAGTTATTAGTTATTATATTATCATATTTATAAGTTAGACTATAGAGGGATTTTACTTGGCCCGTGAAACAGATACTAACAACTACTGTAAAATAGCTACAAGAAAACAAAAGAAGACAATGGAATTGGTACAGAATAGTGCGTAGTATTCTATATTACCTATTTCACGGGTTAAGTAAAATCACTCATATTGTTATTACTAGTTATTATATCATCTTTGTATATTCACAGCCTTAGGAGGCTTCTTAGTGAGTATTTATTAAAACTATAATCTATCTATCTATCTATCTAGAGTCCTCATACACTTACTTAATAATATTTCTGTTACGCAGCAACGATTTTCACTCGTGAGCTTCGGGTACTTGTGGTTTGACGAGCAGAAGCGTAGTAAATAAAAAATTACCAGAATAATGAAAGAAAAACAAAAAAACAGGCTGGCAATTGATGATAACAATTAAGTTTTTATCCTGTCTGACATGATCATTTGTTTTAAAAATTATAAATGAATACTTGGTTCCGTTAGAGCCCAAGAAAAAAATTGTGATTTATCAAATCAACGCCCACGAGCACATTTTATATTTATGGTGGCTTGATACAGTTTTTCAGGGTCAATATCTCCCAGGTTTGAGCATAAACTACGTCGCCATAAACAAAGATGTGGAAAAATTGACACCGCAGTTGTATTAGATAAAGATGAAAATTTGTTATGATCAGAATTGCAATGACATCGGAGTTGTCATAGCAAAGAAATGACGCCATTACTTATTTTACTTGCAGAAGTATTTCTCGGCACTGGGAACTGTTCTTCCAAAATCTTTTACTGAAGTTTTTTCCTCCAATAGCCGCCTCGGTGTTCGTGAAGTTAAACCGAAATCTGTAAAAGCGTTATCGAGATATTTTCGAAAGAAGTTTTTATGGTTAGAAATGAGGTAAACAATGGACAGTCTTGATGTTCGACTGTTATCTGTACTAAAGGAAGCGCTTTTGACATGCAATTTCACCTCATAGTAGTTTCAATCTTTTTAAAAACGTGTGTGAGAGGTCATGGAGATAGCTCCAGCCGATTGCTAGAAAGAAGGATTTGATTAGTATGTATCGGGAGCTCTAGTTAGCAGTAATGTAAACATTTCGGTCTACTTTAACAAATTAGCGAATAATTTTTAAACCGCTCGATTGATTTTTTAAAAAAAATAAGCATCTTAAGATTAACCGTCCTTTTATGTGACCTCTTAGTTTCAAGATTATTGATATAATGTAAGGTAGTAAAATAAGGGCTACAATTCGCTAATTTTCTTC